GTTATTCTGGAGAAGAACACAAAATTCTGGCATGTCAAAATTCTGAACATGTGATGAGTTTAGGAACACAACCAGTTTAGTTACAGGGGAGATTTTGCCCAGTCCTAATCAGCCCTGCTATTCTGTCAGTTTGTGGTGCATTCATGGTTGAACCATCACCAGCCTCTCTCAGATTGATCATTTTGAGGTAAATACATCAAGATAAAACGAGCAGCCAACCTGAGATGCAGTGGTGTCAATAGCCACCTTGGAGCAGATACATCCATGCAAGAACAGAATCCTTTCAGTGGAAACAAGTCTTGAAGCACAAAAAAAAGACCATTTAGCACTAGAGTTTATATAAGAAAATAATCCTTACAGATGAACCAGCAACAGTAGTAGAGGGCAAGGTAGATGTTTTCAAGTGTGTGGATGAGCTCTGGCCCTCTCTGCTCTTAAGCTAATTGGAAATTAATTACAGTTCATTCACTGGCACCTCCAGAAATGCTTGGGAAGGGCTTGAGACAAACCTTTCTGGAGTGTCTTGCTTAGCACTTCTGAAGGTGGAATTAATTGATTTCCAGTTAAATATGACTAACTAAAACCTATACAATTGCTAATTGTTGCACTCCACGTGTGCTCCCTCCAAGACGTCCCAAGACATTTTTAGAGATATAAATTAGCAACAGTTAATCAAAACACGAGGTTTAAATTTTCACTTTCCCTGTCAACCAGAGGTTCCACCAACCTGGTCACTTGATGGTAACACATCAATCTTTGCTTAACCAGGATGTTGCACGATCTTCACCAACGTGTTGATTAATCACAAAGGGATAGTTTTATTTGTTGTCTTTTTTCCATTACACCTGGACATTCAGAACCAATAACACTGTCTAGAGCTTTGACAGCATGTCCAGAAATCCATAGGCAAGTTCACTTAAGAGAGTCAGTAACTCTTTAGATTATTCAAGTAGTTTAAGACTAATGAACAGGAGAGAGATACTTCATCTTATGACTGACATATTTTCCTAAAAATTGACATTTCTGCACTGCATTGACAATGCTGCACATAGGTCTCTTGTGTGAGTGACTTTATAGAGATAGGCACAGCCAGCTGGGACTGAATGTGGACAATGAGGATGGAACAGCTGCAATGAGACAGAAAAGTGTTTAGCACCTTGTCCAAAATAATAAAATAATTTACAGAAGAATATCTATTATTTAAAGTTGGTAACAAATCCAGTGTGTCTGTTAGGCACTATAAGAATTTAAGGACATATGGAGTCACCAGGAGTATTTTGGTCAAAATCTTGCAAAATATAATGCATTTTTATATCTATTAAAAGAGGCGTGTTGTACAGGAGGTGGATTTCTTATCAGCTGAAATCCTAAATTCTATACAGAAGAGGCAGGCAATAAATGTCCAGGTTGACCAAGACAGAAACACCAGAGAAATAACAGATTGCTCTACTTTGAGTCACGACTTTTTCTTCCCTTTTCTGTTTTTAAATGTTTCCTTTATACAAAATGCCATGGTTCAGCACCCTTGCAAATTAAAGACTACCAAAGATCAAGGTTTGAGTCCCTCCATTCATGAAAGGAAATTAAAATCACCACTAAAAGTCCCACTTTTTATTACTCTGATATAAACCATTCAGAAAATACCAGAAGGAAGAACTATACTCAGTATTTAATACACTGTTCTGACTTATTGTATTTTGTTAGTGAATTTATTAAAAGATGTATATATGCAGAGTTCGACATCAGTGGCCAGATTCTGATCTTACTCACTCTGTCCCAACCCCCTCTGTCCTGGATTGCAAGTAAGTCAAGGTAAATACCTAAGTACAAACAGTAATGGAATATAAAATGAATTAGTAATAATGAAATTATTCTGAGGCCAGTTAAATCCCACGGGACACTTGATGGTTGGACTGGATGATCTTAGAGGTCTTTTCCAATGTTACTGATTCTATGATTCAATGTTTAATCTGAACTCAATATTAAAAATGTGTAGACCAAATACACTGAAAGATGTTTTCCTTTTTCAGCCTGAACAATTCTAACAGTCACTGCAGGGTGTTGCCAGTGGACTACACTTGTCATGACTACAAGAATTAGCTTCCCACTTAAACTTTCTAAAACTTTATTCATGTTGTTCTTCTGCAACCTACTTCACATTGATTTAATCAAGCTCCCTTAAACACACATAAACTGAGTTTGCCATTCTTAAAATATTTTATAATAACACATTTAATAAAGCTAATTTAAACCTGCTAATTTTATAGAGACTTGCCAGAGGCTTTGAAACTTCACAAAATGTGTAAACTTGACAGTTTGGTTGTGATAATAGCTGAGACAGTGGAAATTAAGCCCTCTGCATTACAATCATGTTCAAAGTGGATTCCTAGTTTTATTGCAAAAAAAAGTATGCTGCAAAAATATAACAGAAAACCAATTTATAAAAGATATTTCAGGCCAAGACATACATTCACCCAAGTTTGGCTTTTCAGATCCAAGTGGCCCAGTTCTTGAATTTGGTCACTACTGTGCCTCAACAGCACAGCCCCAAACATACACTGAGGTCTCTCATTTTAAAGACTACCTGGAATCTTTTCTACAACCAAATTTTGCATAAGTAAAAGCAGGGTTTCTCGTTCAACAGACCTCTGTAAGAGCTTTGAGACAGTGTGCTTAGGGCCATTAATTCTGAGTTCCTAATTCTAGTTGTCAGTCTTCCAGCTGATGCTATATAGGTTTGCTACTGTCTGCTCTAATTTCTACCTTTGAAAACCAAATGATAATGGATTATATGCCAAGTGTGGGAATAGGCACATTGAGTAGGATCCAGGCTGTATCCCAGGTGATAGCAAGAAGAAGCAGTGCAAAAAAAAATATTCAGCTCTTCAGTGAAGCATCAAGGAGTTTCACCTCTACTAGAGGAATTCTTCACTTTATACATAGCATTTAAATGATAACTAAGTGATCATTATCATCATCTGATTTGCAGAAAATGGCAGCTTTCCTTGAAGATATAACTGAAATTTTTAGGGCTATTGTTGCAGAGCTCTCCTCAAATTTTTATATGGGAGAAGGCATTAAGACTTCACCCACGAAGACTTGTAGGGTTGCAGGTTTTTAAGGGACACAACCTCATTTCTTTGAAGCTTTTTTCAGTATCTGTAAAGTTCAAGTCATCTTTTATTTTTTTTTCCTACTAATTGCCTCAAAATATTCATCAAGGCAATCTGGAATATATTCTTGGACAAGGTTTTTTTTTTTTAGTCTCTCCTGCTTCAGTGCTCTTTCTCTCGGTTCTGTCATTGCTTTCCTTCCTGCTTTTGTGTATTCAGAAACAGAATTAAGGTGTACTGCAACCAGTGGACACTTGCATAAACAGCCTGCTTTGAATAAAACAGCACGATTTTGAGAGAGGAAAATCACCTTCAGCTTTCCTGCCCAAATGCTAAAACACAGATGAGGTTCGTATACTATCAAAGCATAACATTTTTGCTTTGAGACCACTGAAATGCTGTGAAGAGAAGAAAAAATGTAAATAAACTGAACATGGAGCATAAAAGCACGTTGGTTCCCAGGTTCTGAAACCGCAGTTAAAGTGGTTTATATTTGTAATTTATTTAAGACTGGTTTTGGCAAATACATTAGTAATGCACCTCCTTCACAGATTTTTATGCACGAAAGCTTTAAGTTTGCCAGGACCTCTGTAAAGCAACTTTTACTGCATCAAATTACTGCATTCCTTGATCTCTCCCAGCACACACTCCCAGCAGCCAGCCACACTCAAACACAACGATCAGCTCTCTCAGAGATACTCCAATAACAGGTCTTTTTAAAAAATTAACACAGTTGTGAAAAAGAAAGCAAATACAACGCTTTTTCCCTGCCCCTCCAGCATTTTGCACCCGGTGTCAACTTAAAATCAGCACTTTCTTCTGCAATACTTGTATTTCCATGTGAAACTTCTTCACTGAGAATTGATGCAGAATTGGGAGCTGTCAGCTCTGATCGCATTCACCAGCACACAGGTTTGAGACTCTATTTCATAATAGGAAAAGATGGCCAGCGTTTTCCTGACAGAAGTACCACACATTTTTCAGTCAGTAAAAATTACAGAGCTCATTGTTGACGCATTTCCCATGCAGAATGAGGACTGCAAATTATCAGGCAAAGGTTTTTTTGTTATTTTTTTTCCCCTTTGGTACACAGCACAAAACCCAGCACAATCTGCAAAACTTATTAACTACTGGGGTTTGAAACCCCTTCTTTGCATGCTGCCGACACGGTCACAGCAACCTATACATTGATCTTATTCCAAAAGCACAGTGATCTTTATGCTGGAAGAATTCTAGTTCTGTGTGCCGTAGCATACACTGCAAAGGAAAAGAAAAAGCCTTTAGGAAAGGCATGTGCTGAACACACAAAATATGCAGGATGGAAAAAGACCAAATGTAATTAAAGCTTATATGAAATGAGACATTCCTATTTGCAGAGCTCTGGCTGCATTTCTCTGAGAAAGAATGCACAGAATTTCAAATCATGCTCTATTTAGACAATGTCAGAAGAAAAACACATTCCCCCCCCACCCTCCACACCCCTCAATCCCCCACCCCAAGACTCCAAAAGGCAAATCTCATCATCGGAACTAAGAGAGAAAAAGCAATCCAAAGAGACCGGTTTACATATTCCTTCCCAAACCAAGAAATCAAGTCTCTCCCTCTCCCGGCTAATAGCTTATAAATTCAGACTTTAAACAAAAGCACCACCAAAAAAAAAATATATATATAAAAAAGAAGAATCATCCTAATTCTCAAGCTTCCTACTTAGCACTGCCTCGCTTTTGATGATTTGTGCGGCTGTGTGTGCGTGCCTGTTTGAGAAATGGCGAGATAGGCTTAAAGTATTTTCCATTTCATCAAAGAGCATATATTACTTTCCTGGTTCGCTCCCGATGTTGGTTTTATGCCCACCCCTTTTCAATCTGCCCATGTCTGAGATGCACAGTGCAGGCGTACAATCATGAGCAGCTTACGACACTCAGTGAACACTGGGTGCCTCTGCATGCTCTAGCAACATACTGCTCAGCTGAAGGGAAGGGATTCTTGCTGTCTCTCTCTGCTCTAAGCATCACCTAACAAGCAAAGCGAACAAAGAATGGGAAATAAAGCGACCCTTAACCGGTCAGTGAATGAATGGTAACCTCTCTCTGGAGTAAAGGTTGTGCCGGTCAATGGTCGTTGCAAATGACGGACATTAAACAGATTGACAAATCCTGTGGAGTCGTTAGTAAAGAGTTTGGAGTTTTTTTCACGCCACAGTGTTAACTGCAGAGGAAAGGACAGAGGGAGAAGGAGAAGATCAAGCTCATGTACATAGTTCTGAAACTTGCAGGTCCTAGGAGGCAGCTCAAAAGCTAGCTGGACAAGCCTTTCGCTCGTTGAGCAGAAGCGAAGTGAGACATTGTGAGCTTGCCAGCCTTGCACAACATTGAAAGGGACTGAATTTGTAGCACAGAGGGGTCTTTTTTAGCTCTGCATATAATTAGTCCAAACACAAAGGAAGCAACTGAATGGAGGTTGTCACTCTCTGGAAAAGGGTGGGTAAGACACTTTTTAATTAAATTCTTTCATGAAGAAAGATTTTTTTTTTTCCTTTGCTGCAGCATTTAACATGAACAAAATCACTATCATTTTACCTTTGAATGTCTGTGAACTTTAATGCTGCACAGCTCCTGCATGCTGTAAAGTGAAATATTTGCCTCTGTGTTTGTTCTGTTTGCTGTTTTGCTTTGGTTTTCGGGCTTTGTTTCGTTGGTTTGCTCTTTTTTTTTTTCCCCCCTTAAATAAAATATGATGTAGAATTTGAAAAGATTCAATGGACATTCTCAAGCATATTTGGAAATATTCTTGCTAATGGATTTCCTTCTTATTGGTCTCTGTTTAAACTGGCTGCTGAGGAAGCCCCCGGGGTTGATATTGTGTACGCTGGGTATCTTTTCTAAAATGCTTCCAGCTGTGAATAGTGGGTGTCCACAGCTCTGTCGGTGTGAGGGCAGGCTTTTGTACTGTGAATCACTGAATCTTACAGAGATGCCTCGCAACCTGTCGGGCATGATGGGCTTGTCTCTGCGGTACAACAGCCTTTCAGAGCTGCATGATGGACAGTTCACAGGGTTAATGCAGCTCACGTGGCTCTATCTGGATCACAATCACATTTGCTCAGTGGAGGGGAATGCCTTTCAAAAATTGCGGCGAGTTAAAGAGCTCACCCTGAGTTCCAACAAAATAACCCAACTGCCCAACACCACTTTCCGCCCCATGCCAAACTTGCGCAGTGTGGATTTATCTTACAACAACCTACAGTCTTTGGAGCCCGACCTGTTCCACGGGCTGAGGAAACTGACAACTTTGCACATGCGGTCGAACGCCATCAAGTTCGTGCCGGTGAGAATTTTTCAGGACTGTCGCAGCCTGAAGTTTCTGGACATAGGATACAATCAGTTAAAGAGCCTGGCTCGAAACTCTTTTGCGGGCTTGTTCAAACTCACTGAGCTGCACCTCGAGCACAATGACTTGGTGAAAGTGAATTTAGCCCATTTTCCCAGGCTCATCTCCCTGCACTCTCTCTGCTTGAGAAGGAATAAAGTTACCATCGTAGTAAACACCTTGGACTGGATATGGCAACTGGAAAAGATGGATCTCTCTGGCAACGAAATCGAATACATTGAACCTCACGTTTTCGAAAGTGTACCTCATCTCAAATCCCTGCAGCTGGACTCCAACCGGCTGACCTACATCGACTCCCGGGTCCTGGACTCCTGGAAGTCCCTCACTAGCATCAGCCTCTCCGCCAACGCCTGGGATTGCAGCCGGAACGTCTGCGCCCTGGCCTCCTGGCTGAGCAACTTCCAGGGTCGCTACGACAGCAACCTGCTCTGTGCCACCCCCGAGTACGCGCAGGGCGAGGATGTTTTGGACGCCGTGTACGCCTTCCACCTGTGCGAAGACGCAGACCCCACGAGCGTCAACACCTTCTCCCCGGTGACCAACAACAGCGACCAGACGCTCGGCTACGGCTCCGCCACCGCCACCTACGACGTGCCGGACAGCGGCGAGGACCGGACCACGTACGCCGTCACCATCACCATGCCCGGCGAGAACTCCGAGAACGCCGTGCAGATTCACAAGGTGGTGACGGGCACCATGGCACTGATTTTTTCCTTCCTCATCGTGGTTTTGGTGTTGTACGTCTCCTGGAAGTGCTTTCCAGCCGGCTTAAGGCAACTAAGACAGTGCTTTGTCACACAGCGCAGGAAGCAGAAGCAGAAACAGACCATGCACCAAATGGCTGCCATGTCAGCCCAGGAGTATTATGTTGATTACAAACCCAACCACATTGAGGGAGCCCTGGTGATCATTAATGAGTATGGATCTTGTTCCTGTCACCAGCAGCCAGCGAGGGAATGTGAGGTGTGATTTTCCTTGTGGGATTTAAACAGTGTGCAACCAAATAACAGCGTGCAGGCAGACAGTGGCACGGGGTGGGGGGGGTTGCTGGGCTTTGCTGGTGGTTTCTGATGTGCACCTCTGCCCAAATTGTTAAGAGGGGCTGTCCCAGAGACTTGATATTTTAGCTTTATCGTGTCTTAAAAACCTTCAGGACAGCCAATCTTAAGGTTTCATATGCTAATACTCCCTTTGAAGATCTGTCAATATTCAGGAATCTGAGAGTGTAAAAAGGTACCAATTATTGATCTTTTGTAAACTAAAAAAAAAAAAAACTGTTTAAAATAAAAAAAAATAGCATTTACAGTTTTTACAGACTGGTGTATATTACATGAATGGTTCCCTGTATACAAAATGCAACAGTTTAACCTCTTTTTCTCTTCATGCTGAGTGTTGAAATGAAAGTCGAGGAGCAAAGAAGCCACGTAAAAGAGAAAGCTTAAAATTACCCATTGTAATTAGCACACATTCACATCCATCATGTTGCTGAAGATATGAAGCATGACACTGGAATTCTATTTTTGTTAATGTGCTACCTGTAACTGGATGCCAGTACAACAAGGAGCCAGTGCACCTCAGAAAGGCTAAAGTTTTGACCCTGTCCCTGGGACAGGTATTCTGAGGGTTTTTAAGTACAGCTCACTTGTTAGTTGCTGCAAGATCCATAAAAACAGCATCAGAACCCTTAGAAGTATTTTGTATCAAAACTGATCATACTGCAAAGACTCCCTAAAAAAAAAAAACAACCAACAAAACCCAAATGAGTGAAACACCGCCAAAATGTGCTCATCAGAAATATAAAAAAGACCAAAAACCCCACTAAATTTAAGGGCTTTTAATAGCTTTTCCCACTTTTATGCTTGTTTTGAGCTATGCCAAGAGCAGGGAACTTGTTCTGTGCCCTGTGGTGCCATGGTGAGTGGAGAAGAGCAAAAGCTATTTGGGTCTCAGTGATGAAACCTGTGTGTCTGAAGAGCAAAACCACCGTCAAGGGAAGATAGAGAGGTATTAGATCCTACTTCTGGGTCCTGTAGTAAACTGCTGGCAAAGCCCAGCTCATGTCCCTCCCTTCCACCAGCAGCCTTCACTAACAAAACAACCCTAAAAATCTCTGCAGAGGCTGAAAGCAGATGAACCCTCCTTACTAATGAGTGATAAATGGAATTGATGGATATAAAGCAGTGATTTCACAATGTAGAATCACGCAGCTGTTTTATCTGACTGCCCTTAAATAAAGGCTTCCTTTCTTTGTATTTTGGATTTTCCATTCCAGCATGTGAACAACTTGATCCTTTCACCAACTCCCCTCATACTAATTGACGGTGAGGGAGTTTTGTAACATCAGGCAGAGCATCTTGAAATTTTCTTCCTACGGCACTACATGGGAATAAAATGTTATGGATAATGAACTGGGTGACATTTCTATGCTCTGTACATGTTTCTCTATCCTCAGGTTACCACCAATAGAGGAACAATTGCAAAATCTTACATGTATTTTAATGTAACGCAGGGGCTTTTTTCCCTTTTTTATAGCATTGAAGTGCCACCTACTCTTACAAGGCTACAGCAGGCTCATAAAGCAGAAAATAGGCATGGAATAAATCACTTGTTTTCCTGCACAGCAGGTTTTAGCCATTAATTTTGAGTGTAAAGAGTGACTTCTATATTTTTTTCTGACTGATACTATTTTAATTAAGGAGTCAGAATTTATTTTCATCTATTTGATACATCTCATCTTCTGTAATATTAAATATGGCAAGAGCCCTTTAATCAAAATTTTTATTCAGTGAGACTATAATATCATCTGTGAAAGCAATGAGATTATGTACTGGGAGAGGACTGTTTCATAGAGAATTTAATGAAAATCAGCTGCTTTTTCACTAAAGCCACTGAAAATTCCCCCACAGTTACAAACAAGCCAGCACTGTTAAAACCAGGCTTTTCTCTCTTTAAACAAATGCACATTTCTCTTCCTGTGCCTCAAACCCAGTAGGGCCTGATCCATCCTGAAACTCCCGAGTGACCTGAGGGGTTGAGTGTCCATGTACAAACCTAACAGCGAGGACAGAGAGAAAGTACAGACCCCCTTGTCTTTTGGGTTGCCTGATCATGTTTAAGGCAAAACATATTTGCCTAAATACATGCTAACTCAGGGCCAAGCTATATTTATTTTCCCCATTAAACCCTTCTCTGAAATCAGTAGGGAATTTAACTGTGAAAAATTGGCTCTCCAACTTTGAACTAGGCTATACGTTCCTCAAATCCACAAGGCAGCACTGCAGCCAGCAGGGCTGATTACAACTAGTTGCCAGGATGCTTCCAAAAAATCAACTAAGACCGTTAAAATATTGTATATATATATAAACTGGCTTTATTTCTATAATGACCCCCTGCTGCTATAAAGAAATGTATTAGTGCAGTCATGGCTTTGCCCCTGTAAATCTAAGACAAGACTGATACCAACAAACAATCATCCCGTGGTTGTATTTCAGTGTATTTTTAGCATATTTGTGGGTTGTATTTGAAACACACGAGTGATTGCACCCCTCTGGAGTTGTTCCTGCTGCTTATTGGTGTTAGCAACCTCCAGCCACGTTTGCAAAGACGTGAGCAATCTTGCCTTTGGAATTTATTCACCTCTGTGCTTCATGCATCTTGCACTGACAGCTCAAGTAAACTGAGCAGAGTGTTTTCCTTTAAAGGTGCAGTGATTTCCTAAGTGGGAGCTGATTTCGGTGTTGCCTGTTGCCATTTCTCCTGAAGAGAGGTGATGACCAGCAATGACTTGCCACCCTGAGCAGGATGATGGATGGATGGATGGATCCTCCACGTGGAGCACAGCCCTTATTAAAGGATGTGTTTCAAAATCTTCATGCAGAAATCTTTTCTGAGGGTAATCTCTTCTAGAGACAACCTCCTAGTGGTCCCCAGAGGACATCTGGAGATCCTGACTCTCTGAATATTCACTGGTGAAAAGAAGGGTATCACTGCTGTTACCTGGCAGTACCACAGGGTACCCACATCTAGTCTGAAAGTTTACATGAAATATATGTGGGTAATAAAGAAATAAAAGAGCCACTATGTCATTTCAATCTAGCTATTGCAAATCCAGTTATTCATCCTGCTCCAGGCTATTTCCATTGGTATATATGGGAGTTATCATATTTGTACTGCATTTATGGCAACTGCAGGGACAAATTTTCCCTAACTCTTTCTTCCAAATTTTGTGTTCAACAGCTGTCCAGAGATAAGTCATTCCCTCTCTTTGATGCCCTTATTCTGGCAATATTAAATGGCTCCAAATCAAAAGGAAAAAAAAAAAAAAAAAAGATTCTTTTGGGGTTAGTTGTGACAGTTTTGTCCAAGAGATGCTTGGGGAATATCAAAGGAAGGAAAATATTTTCAATATTCCCTTTCTAATGCTCTACTTAATAGGACTAATCTCCCTTTTATAATGAGGTAATTAGCATTATTTTCTTTATATTTAACTGTCTTTTTAAACACAAGACAGGGTGAAAGGCAAACAAAAGAACTACCTTTTTTGAGGCTGGTTAACAGTACCAGTGTTATAGATCTCTAACATGCAATCTCTTGCTGCTCACATCAATACCCACTCACAGTGCACCCAGTGCTGAAGGAACTGTTGCTGTGTATGCTCTGAATGTATATAAGGGATGATTTATTTTCCTTTCTGTCTTTTTCTTTCCTTCCTTTCTGTACTACTTAAAAAAAAAAATAATTACATGAAACCACAGAATCAATGCTGATGTACCACATTCTGTTTCTGCCCTGAAAATATAAAATACAAAGATATTCTGTGTTAAAGCTGCAAATTCCCTCCTTTGCCATGCTGTCTGGGTACTGCAAGGGGTCAGACCAAGGGATGCCCCCTCCCTCTGTGGTCACAGCAATAGCTGAAGATGCAGCCCCTAGTTCAGAGCTGCCTTGCAAACCTGTGCCAGAGAAAGACCATTAACCATACCTGAGGATATTTTTGTATGCTTTAATATATTCTGTATATGTTTTTATGGCTAAGGCATCGAGGGGTAGTTGAAATGAGTCTGTTTGATCATTTTCTTTGGTTCTGATAAAAAAAAAAACAACAACAATTCATTTGCTATTCAGATGAACTAAATTTGTTCCTTGTGTGTGTCTCATTCTGCATTAAAAGCAAAAGGACTCCCTGAATCCCTCTCCCTTCCCCCCCCCAGCTTCTCCAATGGTATTCAGAGTGGCAACTAAGGAGTATTTAATGAGGAAGCTTATTTCTAATGCTATAACAGTAATAGCAGTAATAATAACGAAATTAAAAGGAGACAAAAGATAAAAGACTGGAGTAACAACAACTAAATCAGGATGTTACTGGATTCCTTTGCCTTTTTTTAAAGGTGGTTAATCTAAAGAACTAGCATAGATGAAAAATCAAGACTGAGGGTGGGTGGAGAAAGCAGTTTTTAAAACCATGCAAGCAGGGATGAAACAGCTTCTGCAAAGGAGGGTACAACACTAAATAGCTTCATTCAGCAGGAGAGAGAATAGGGAAGGGTGAAGGGATGGGATGAAAGGGAAGATGAGAACTGGTGAGGAGGCAAGGGGACCACTGTGCACACATGGGAAATGAGACTTTTCAGTGCCTTCCCCTCCCACGTTAGGACTGTGGCAAGGACAACAGCAGAGATGTAAGAAGGATACCCGGCATCTCCTCTCTCCCTTTCCAAAGTCCCAGTCACACACACTCTCTCATCACAGAGGCACAGACAGACATGCTTCCCCAAACACACGTGCCCACAGCCCCGTCATTTCCTCCGCCACCTCCCTGTTCCCTGGGAGCACAATGTCCCCCTCATCCATCGCTGTGTTTGCTGAGCTCCAGCACTGTGCCTCTGCCACTGATTTTTTTTTGGCTGGATTTCTTAGCTATCCTAGCCACAGTTCACCACAGGTTTTCTAAAAAAAATCAGACTTTTCTACCCAAAATCTCTTTTTTTTTTTTTTGTTTGATTTGTTTTTTAAGAAACCCTCATCTAGAGAGATGGGTGATCTCGAGCTATCACAGATTCTCCTGCTGATTATATCTACACTCATATTCAGCTTTCATGTTCACAGCTATTATGACCAACAGATCTGAGATATTTTTGCTGTGTTCAATTTCCCATTATGCACCAAGGTTATGTTTTTCCTTGACCTGTTCAACCCAGTCTAATATTAACAAATTGAGCATTTACACGGGTTCCTTTCCAAGCATGTAGTTGATTAGGAATTTAGGAAATGCTGGTGATTTAAAGATTAACCTTTCATATAATTACTGACATAAACTAGCGCTATTAAGGTATTAGAAACAACTATTCAGAGCATATTCTCCATTAAAAAAAAACAACAAAAAAAACCAAAAAAAACAAATCACATTTCGAGCCATGCGAAAGACTTTCCATACCAGCCAATTTTTACTTTTTTTTTTTTTTTTTAACAGCAGAAAAACCTGGTGAAAGGAAAGGAGTAAGCACAGCCTACCTCTAAAGTTATGTAGAGGAAAGCAAAGCTATAAAAATAATACAGAAACCAAGCAACAGTCTTCTGCTGGCAAGACACAGCTTGTAATTGGGTGGGTGGCTGTGAAGAGCCGAGATGAATGCTGCAGAGCACTGTAATTTTATTGCACTGTGTCTGCTCTAAAGTGAACATATTTGCAATGGAATCTGTATTTCCCTGAGAACAAGGCAATTGTTTTTTGTTATAAAGATAACGTCACTTGTTGGCATTCAATTCAGACACAATTCTTCAGCCTTTAAAGCAATTACTGTTCTTATTGGCCTTTGCTGGGGGGGATAGTTGGAGGAAACAGTCAAATGGAACAGGCTGCACTGAAAGGAGTTGGAGCCTAAAGTCCCAGCTTTACATTACAAGAGAAGAAATCCAGTTTTAAAATACACAGCAGCTTTTCACCTTTTCCTCCACTTCTCCCCTTCCTAAAAATCCAAATATGTAACATCACTTCTAGTAGTCAGAGAGTGGCTAAAGGATAACGTTATGAGCATTTGTGCTTGGCAAACAGCACTTACTATTCTGCTAAGGCACTTTTATTTTTTAAATCGTTTTGCTGCTCTCATGTTCTTCGCATCCTCACCAGACACAGTAACTACCACCAGGAAGATGTCTTTCAGCACGGGAACGTGACCAATTCCCTTCCATTTCTGAGCTAACAAAGACTCAATCCAAGATTTCAAAGGTGATAGGTAAGTACAAAAAAATCTACTTCATCACTGAATTATCATTTTTAGCACAGTAGACTTCTCTGGCTGACACGGCCAGACACTAAACACAGTCGTTCTTTTATTATCAACTTTATCCTGGCCCTTTTTGCTGATGTGCCTTTCCCCTGATCGCAAAACAGAGCACAGCACCAGAGGGAGGGCTAAAAATTGTATTTTCAGTAAAGTCTCAATGTAAAAAAAATATGCATGGGCACATCAAATTGATTTAAGGGCTGATCTAGTGAAGGCAATGCAGCTGCTATACACAAATCTCCCTGTAGTAGCACACCTCTGTACCCTAGTGGTTACAGTAAGGTATAAGCAAACATCCTCTGATAGCTGGGGGACTCCAACTGAAAACAGATTTCTGAACACCTTTTAAAATATACACTTTCTAACTTTTATCCCTTCTCACCCATTCTCCCATCTCTCATTCCCAGAACCTCACAGGCAGGGTGAATCAAAAGCAAGAGGGGCAGGAAGAAGAGGAAAACCCTGAAAAGCCCAAACTAAGCTGCAAGAACAGTCCACAGCTACTGAATTCCAGAGGTTTTGGTTCTTTTCACAACTGTCAGCCCTTTGAAACACATCTGCTATCAACCCTCTTTGCAAGATGAGAGGCAAAGTGAGTTCCCAGGAGTAAACCTGGATCTGTCTCCATGGTTCAGTGCCTGTCTGACAGTCTGACTTGCTAAGAGAGCCTGGTAAATATTAAAGAATGTTAATAATAATGAGATAAACCACCTGGGGATTTTTCCCACCTCTTTTTTTTTTTTTAACTTGGCTCCATACTAAAGTTTATCTTGACAGAATCTGATCCAGATTATTTCCCAAAGCAATTTTTTCAACAGCAAACAGAAATCTGTGCCTGCTGCTAAAAGGTTTGCTAAAGAGGCCACTGCATGTCAAATGTTTACCTTAATTTCATGTAAATGTCACTCCATATTGGACATTCTGTGTTTCTTTACCAGCATATGCAGCTGCCTCCACCTTCAAAATCCTTCCCCTTGTACCTCAGCTACCTTTACAAACAGCCCAGAACCTGCTGCTCCTGTCAGATCAAATTCCCAAACAACAACTAGATGTCATGAATTTATTATGTAATTGATGTACTCTAATAAATTGAATGTGAATCCTATGGCCTGAAAGACAAAGAAATCATGGAGACAGTAAAGGAGTAGAAGGAATACATCTGACATACTCTCTATGGGGAAACCCCCCCCCCCCAAAACAAAAACCACTGTGAGGGACAGTGCTGGAGGAGTTTGAGGAAGGTGGAGGGCACAGAGCATCAGCTGAAAAAAAAAAGGTGAATTACATTTTTCATCAGCTGAAAAATAGGTGAATGACATAGCAGGAAGTCACTGCTAAAAAACAAAGTGAAAAACGGTAAAGGGGACAGTGCCCATAACAGATTAATCAGCAAGACTTGAGTGATAACCAACACAGGAGAATCTCAATAAGGGTTAACAAAGCTCTGTGGTGATACTTGATGACAAAATGAGTACATACTAACATGTATTTGCACTGGGAAAACAGCAATCCATGAAGTCACGTGGAACTAAACTCTGGGCTTATTCATTCCTCTGTCCATCTTTGCTCTGTCATGATAGGCTTTGTCATATATTTTTATTTTTTTTCTTTATTTTTTACTTATTTATTCCTGTTATGCACAGAATTGGACCCACGGAGATTGTGCTTTTACTTTATGGGAAATATGCTGTTGTTTTTTCAATGGGAGGCACTTCTAGCCTGAAGTAAACCTTATTGTATTGGTTTTGTATATCTATTTCCCTGATTTCAGAAACCTTTAGGGATTACATTAGGTTATTTTAGCTATTGGAATGAACATCTTCCCAAAAAGTTCCCTGAAGTAGTTTTATAAAGTTACACTGAGTCTCTTTCCTAATAAAAAAAAGAGTTGAAAACTTTTTTCCCCCTGGTTATCTTTTCCCATTATGCAGGATACTCCAGCCCCAATCTGTCATTTTTCATTAGCAAAGGAGTCATGCTATGTCTGTTAATGAACAGTCTTAATGAAGATTTGGTGAATAAGCCCTGGAAAATCAAACTCCAAACAAATACTAAAATCTACCTCAGATCTATTGTTTGCAGGTAATAGAAACTGGGAAATGAAAGAGAGTTTAAAGCAATAGGGCATTTAAAACAACAAATAGGGTCAACCCAATGGTGTTTATCAAGAAATTAAAAAAAATCATGGACTTACGGAATGTTATGGGTTAGAAAAGACCTTAAAGCCCATCTCATTCCACCCCTGTGGCATGGGCAGGGACACCTTCCACTAGAAGAATTTGCTCAAGGCCTTATCCAGCCTGGCCTTGAACACTTCCAGGGATGGAAGGGCAGTCACAGCTCCTCTGGGCAACTTATTCCAGTATCTCACTATCCATAACTAACTATAACTAAAAATAACTAAAATATACTGCAGTTCCCCTAGTTTAGAGTTGAGCAGAGCTTATCATAATAGACTGATAAGTCTTATCTCAGTAGCTGTTAATTTAATTTTGAGATTTATTAAGGTCTGTAACACCAGCCAACAGGGATAAATTGATGGGTTGTCTGTAGAGTAGCATCATGCTTCTGTAATCAGCTGCACTCCTGAACTTTTGGATTAGCATAATAGTATTAACATGGTGGTATAAAGAACAGGCAATCTCATATTTGGACTTTCAAACAGCTTTTGACAAAATGCCTTTTAAAGATTTCAGTTTCCCATAAATAAGACAAGCTCCACGGTCATAGAAAACTAGATAAGCACCCAGAAATACAGTGGTCTTTTAGTGAATACAGTGAAAAAAATGGAGCATAGTGTGGTCCCAAGGCCAGGGCTGCTGAATCATCCCAGCTATGATCAGGAAATAGATGGCATTTTCCAGATGAGAGATTATTTATACAGTGAAAAGGAATGAAAATCATGACAATGTGCAAAGGGACTTCCAAAGGCTGAAGTTTACATAAACTCCGATGGACGAAATTCTTAATTGTCTAATACAAAGCAAAAGAAAAGGTATAAGGAAAACTGTTCAGCTGTGCCCTGGTGATATAAGTTACAGGCAACAACTGGACAACTGTCTTCCCGGGTATTGCATTGAAATCTCTGCTCAGTGTGCAGAGAGGAAAAAAAAAAGGTGGAAAAAAGAAAAGTGGAATAACATCTCAAATGTACACGGAACGGAACAGCTCTCAAGAAATTAAATAGCTTGATATAAATCACTACTATGTCTTCCGCTGGAAAATCCTGTTAAGGATAAGTTAGGAAAGGATCTAAGTGCTAGATAAGGATAAACTACTGACAGGCAAAAGGATGAATGATTCAGGGAAGCATGTAAGTGAGGAGAGAGGCAAAGAAACCGGACCTACAACTGCAGCACGAGAACAAAACGTGGATCCACCCCCCCCTCTAGTGGCCAGACCACACAGGGCTACTGCAAAAAATAATCCAAATCACTGGCAGTTGACTTTAAAACAAGCACACACACATCTTTTTTTATTCCCCTTTCAGTTTTATGTTGCTTCCTAGTGTATTATTATTTTCCCTTCCTCATTAAGCTGCCTGCTGTATCCTATGTTGTTTCTTGTCATCACTTAGTGCTGAAGCTGTTGTACAGGACAAGAATTTTTTTTGTGCAGTGCTTCTCCTGGTCTGCAAGAAGAGGATATGGAGTGTGACAGGGGCCCATGCACATTCTAGCACCAGGAATAATCATAAATTAAAAAAACAAGCTTTGGAACTCATCGCAAAAGACATCACTGATACAAAAAATAGGCATTGAAAAAGGGAACAGTTATACAGAAATAGGAACACAGAATTAATTTGATACCTAGATCCCTAAAACTTTTTAGATTAAAAAATATTATTTTTCAGGAACAGCATCTGAGACAAGGCATATCACGCAGTGGAAATGGTCTTTTTTATTTCCTAGTCATGGACCAGTCACTGAATTTCAGTGTTTCCAACCAACCCACACAGCTACAGTCACCTGGAGAAACTTGGGCCAGGAGAACCCTTCACATCCCTGTATTCTGAATATACACAAATTCTTCTTCTTCTGTCTTCTGTAGGAAGTTTGCTAAAACTGGAAGAATCCCCATTTTTACCAATTTCTCTGAATAATTCAATATTACAGACCATTTCCTGTTACTACCTTTTAACAATCCTACCCTAGAACCTTTTGGGGACTGAAGAGGTGAGATGCTGAGTTGGGGGGGCACTGAGAGGTGCTGCTGAGGACTGAGAAGGAGCAGTGCTCTGTTTCTGGCTGGGATAACACCAAACACTTGGTTAGGACTGGATGTTTTGTTTAAGTTCTGTTTTCTACCAAGAAGAAAAAAAAACAAAAAAAAAAAAACAAACAAAACAAAAAAACAAACAAACAAAAACAACAACAAAAAACAAAAACAAAAAACCAAAAAAAACAAACAAACAAAAAAAAACAAACAAACAACAAACGTGGTGGCTTGAAACAGAAGTGAACATCCTTTGGTTGCAATTCCAGGGAGTCTACTACATCCTTAGGCTAGTAAATTCCAGTGTACCAGGCTGTGGTTGTAGGGAAGATATAAAGCAGCAAGGCATTAAATTTATCTCTTGTAAAAATCTTTCCATCACTTCAATCTCTGCTTCAAATGTCATCTTTACTACTATTTTTTAAGGTATGGATTAATTTATGTATCTAATATACCTTTATTATCTAATACAACCCTTTCTACAAGCGATTTGCTAAGAAATTACAATGTGTTTCTATTTGAGGCTTTTAACACACTGTGCACTTTTGTATGCATTTTAATAATTAAAGCAGGGTTACTGCCCTTCTGTAGATTATTCTGAAATTAGCTGTTGACTATCTAAGATGGTACCTTGTTGTACTTTACAGTGGCTTAGATGGAGTTCAGAGCTTGCACTCTTATTTTAATAATTAATTTGTTAAACTGAAACTAAAGAAGACCACCACAAACAAGGTACAGTTTGAATTCTCACACTTTAAAAAAAAAATCAAACATTTTCAACGTCTTAATAATTTTATAGGGTTAAAAATAGCTAGAGGCAACAGATTATTGAAAATATTTGCATAGAACGATGTTTGCAATTTGCTCTTCCATTACAAAATGGTTTCATCACTGGCCACAACCAGGGGAAGTCTGACAGTCTATCCCTTACTGAGGCAATGCCAGACAATTGTATTCATCATGCCCACTGTCAAGAGAGTTTTAAGAATAAGAGCATAAGGAACTGTACAGACAACTTCAAAAAAGTAACAAAAGACACTTGAGCACTGTGGAGATGGACATAAGTATCAGGGAAATCTTACAGGGAAACCTGAAGGAATCTGATACTCTGCTCACTATGGAGAGAAATCCAGACTGATCCACCAGGGATATCTATTTTTCCATCTGCACTTACAGAGAATCATATATATATATATATATATATATATATATACACATATTTCTGACAATTACAGAAGGCATTATAAGTGAGAGATCTGGAGTATTTGGCTGAGCACCTTGCACTGGGTGGGAATTTTTTACCTACTGGTTGATGCAATATTGCACTTAGTTTTGTATAAGAAATTCATATTTTCATCCAACAACTTCTCAATCTCACCCTGTCAAATATTTTTTTCCTATATTCCTCCTCACAGTACACAAAAAGTAAACCCTGATTTTTAGCTGAAGAGCCAAAAGTTTCTACATGTTGAAGAAAAGGGGTTTCTTCAGATTGACAGCTGAGTGTAATCTGTGATTTTCCTTGACTGTCATTATTGGGGTAAATTAAGTGTCAGGTTCCAGACTAATTCATCCTTTATTAATTAACAGTATCAACTTTTCTCTTTTCATTATAGATAACACATTTTACAGGGTACCAGAAGCAGTTTTCTATTACTGAAGTTATCTCAAAGGCTCTTCTCAAATATCTGCCATAATTTAAAAAAAAAAAAGAAACCAAACCCAAAAAACAGAAAACATTCAATCATAATTTTAATGATAGATCATTTCTCCCTTCACTAAAATGAAATCTTAAAAGCCATTTAATTAAACTGAATGATAACTGAATGACTTCAACCATGCAAAGAATTAAAACTAAGGCTGCTCTCTGCCCAGACAATAAAATGTGGCTTGACAATTATTTACCAGAAGGAAGGAAACGTTAACAGAGTATATTATTCTGAGTAGGCTTTTCATATTCGTAAATA